TTTCAGATGTCATCCCCTTTCCCCATCCCTCCCCTAGAACCCCCCCATCCTATCTTCCCTCCTCCTTCTTGCTTTTTTTTTCTTTATTAGTATTTTAAGTTAACATGCAAAGTACTGAGTTTTATTATAGCACCCTCATACATGTGTCATTAGAGTTCTGATTTATTTCTCTAAATGTGCTAATTTTATCTCTTAGAAAGATGTGGTTCTCTTTCTTTTTTCCTCTGTCTACTAAATCTATTGACTCAAAGCAAATACTATGTGTTTCTAAGTTTTCCCTTGAGAGAATCATGCTATCATGATATAGATTTATTAGCATAATTTAAAATGGAACAGCTACTAAAAATCTTTTAAGAATTTAAATGTATTTCATGATATGGTTTGAATGAGAATTCTTCTTCCCACCCCATAGGCCCATATATTTATATGTTTGGTCACCAGTTGATGAACTGTTTAAGAAGTATTAGGAGAAGTTGTTGGGGAAGATGTGTCCCTGGAAGTGGGCTTTGAGGTTTCAAAAGCCCAAACCAGCCCTCTCCCCATCTTTCTACCTGTTGCTTGTTGTTGCTTGAGAGGAGGTGAAGCTCTCAGCTACGACTCCAGCATCATGCCTCTCTGTTTCCTGCCATGATGCTTATGGACTAATCCTCTATCTGTAAGCAAGGCCCCAATTAAATGCTTTCTTTTATTAGAGTTGCCTTGGTCATGATGTCACTTCAAGTAACAGGATATTAACTAAGATACTTCACTAACTTTGTTCAGTAAAAGTTACCTCATGGGACTATCAAGATGGCTTAGTGGGTAAAGATGCTTGATGCCAAGCTATGGCCTGACTTCTGTCTCTGGGACCAACAATGTGGAAGGAAAACCTTCTGATCTATACACACTCAGTGTGGCATGCATGTCAACACACACAGACACATACACCTAAAAATGTAATATCATGGGTGCTTCAATCTGCTTTTGGTCTTCTCCTTGAACATTACTGAATTAGAACTCTAGCTTTACTCTGTGTAAGTGTGCAATCTGTCAAGCTATGAATGTTAATGATTGTTCAAAGTATGTAGTTCAGGCAAGCTTCACAAAGTAGCATTTTCTCAGCCCCAAAATATTTACTCTCATTTATCTGAGTCCTAGGAATCTTCTAACATACTTTCAAGCAAAAAAAGCTCTTACCATTTGAATTAATTACAGATTCTGGGGAGAGAACGTAGTTTACAAATACTTGGCAACTGGTCCAGTATTATTTTCTCTCTACACAGAAGATGTTTCTTTGCCTGGCTCACAAGGGAGCATTATGCATCTTGACTTAATTCAATCGGAATGAAGCTCATGGCTAATTTATAAATGCTACCAAAACAATGTTTTGTTTAGTTATTAAAAATAATGGGGTAACATTTTCATTAAAACACAGAACTTATTTTTGTTAGGGCAGTTAGTAATTGATTCCTTCTCCTATAGCCTAAAGTTTGCAAGACCTTTGAGGAAACAGCCACCTGTGATGATTGTTAAGACTTCCAAGCTTGCAGGGTGTTATTTACTACAACAAAACAAGGTTTTTCTGTGTCTCCCAGGTCACTGACCTGTTAAGGCAAAAGACTGACCCTAACTCAAAATTTTGTTGCAGTTGCCACATGCCACATGTTTCTACTTTGTGTCGAGGCGTTGAGGGACCTGGGAGTTATCATTTGGGAATCGTTAACCATCATGGTCAGAAAGAGCTTTAAACATTGCAAGTTTCATTGTGCTCATAACATTGGGAGTAGTCAACACAAGATCAAAGTCTCAGAAAAGTATGGATCAATACATTCAGTAAAGAATGGCTTTTGCTACAATTGACTTTTGTAGTATGAAATAATATCAGTAAAATACAAAAATATTTTAATAAGTTAAAATTTTGAAGGTTATTTCAATAAGGCTTCTAAGTGAACAGAATGTATAAAATCCATTGTAAAAGAAATATAATTTTGTCAGTTGACTTTAGTTCTCTGAAAGGCAAATCAATATTCTATCAGTTGAACGTCTAACAACATGCTAACAAGAAGCAAAGAAGCATTTTAGTAGCTATATGAGGTTGTATTTGCTATGGTAACAGTAATTTGTAATTAAATACAAATGTAAACATGCAAATGACAACTGGTAATGTTTAAGACATTAAGTGTTATGGCTTCTCTATGAAACATAAGTAACTAGAATGAAAAACATGATTTTAATGAATAAGGATGAAAAGTTACATAATTCTAGATGTGCAAGAGCATGATATTGAATGACACACACATTTTCACAAATAAGTGCACATAAATCTGCTTGGAATCTCAATGAACTTAGTGGTTCATACCAACACCATGGTTCAGGATTTGCTATTGTACTATGGTTTATAAGATGTCATTATTGGTAAAAACTGGGTCAAGGGTAATTAAGATCTTGACTATTTTTGCAATTTCCTGTGGGTCTGTAATTAAGACAAAGCTTGAAAATATGAATACCTGCTATGAAGCATCATGCACCCAAATCCCACTCATCTCCCCTCCCCATACCTGAGCTCCACCCTTACAACACCCCCGCCCCCAACAGAGAAAAAAATAAATCTCATTGTGGAACAATGTAGTATGTCACAGTGTGTCCCACAGTATACTGTTTTGTCTACACTTCTTTGTTGGGTTATAGCGTGCGCACAGGCATGGGTCCTGCGGGTTGAGTTGTGGGTCCTGCACGTCTGCCGCCCCCATGGGTCTGGGGCCGAGGAGCAGGAATTCAACTGAGTTCACTCCATGCTCCGCCAGGTGGATGTCAGGCTGTGGAAAGCCACGGGGCTCTGCTCCAGGGTGGAGAGAACACGGTCTGAAATCCCCCTCGGGGGCCCAAAGCTCTTGGGTTGGGGATCCCCAGGCCAAGGCGTCCAGGGACCAACTGGTCTCAAGCCCTTGGGCTTTCAGGCAGGGGTGGTGTGTGTACCGGCTGGATCGACCCGCAGCCGAAGGGGTGAGAGAGACAAGCTCCAGCAGCATCCTACAGGGAAGAGACTCTTGGTCACTGCAACTCGCTTGGCTGGATCTTGGCTGGGTCTTGGCTGGGTCTCCATTGCTGGATTGTAGAGAAGTTGTTGGCAGGTAGTTGAAGACCTTCTCCATGTTTCACCATGGCAAGTCCCAAAGAAGAGAGGTAGTCCATGGTTTCAACATGTTTATTGTCATGGTGGAAAATAGATGAAGCTATACCCTGTATTCTCAGGGTGGGCCTGAGGTTAAATACCTTTTGTGAGGAGGAGGGTTTGGGAAGGAATGCTTAACTGGCTATGCCCTCTGGCCTTTAGATAGCTCATAAATATGGAGATATCTTGAGGCTCTGCAGCCTGTAGTCACACACTCTACCTGCACTATGTGACCGATGACCACAAAATCTCTCTTTGGGAGGGGCTGTGGCTATGTGACAAGAACCAAGGGTCCCGGGAGCAACACCAAACTCCTACCATCTCTGAGGATGATGAGGGTCTCCGGTGTTCAAAGCGTGTGCTTGACCAGGTACCCAGCTGCTTCTCACAGGCCACCGCCCCACACTTCTTTGCTTGCAAATGTTCATTGACTCGTTGGTCTGGTTCCAGACCTCTGGCTTCTGCTATACTATCAATACTGGAACCTTATTGGAACTTCTCTGGGATATCCTGTTGTTGCCCTGTGTCATGGAGATTCTGTATCTTTGGCTCTATAGTACTTGCCCCTTCATGCACTATAGCAGTCCATAGACGGGGTAGATGTTGGGGTGCGCCAATTTAAAGCCCCACTCTGGCTGACCCACTACCAGTAAGGGGCAGAGCCAGTCTCCTGCTCTCATGCTGATGGGACTGGCTCATCTGCACCCAAGGAGTCAGGAAGAGCTCTGCTGTGCTGCCCAGGTGAGACACAGGACTCACTCTCCAGAGTGCTACAGCAGGTGAGAGGTTGGAAAGGCTCTCCCACTCTCATGGTCCTGGAGTGGCTCACCTGCTCACCTGCACCACCTCATATCCAGGGCCAGCTTTAGAGTCCTGCCCAGGCAAGGGGCAGAGCCCACTCTCCCAAGTGTTGTAGCACAGAAGGGGCAGGGCCAGCTCTCCTGCTGTCATGACCCCAGGACCAGGTCTGCCACCTATGGCAGGTGGCAAGAGGGAAGGAGGGGTGAGGGCACCTGTCCCTCATTCATGCCACCCCATGGGAAACGAGTGGCAGGGCCAACTTGCCCACATTCATACCCTCAGGACAGGCTCACCCGCAACTCCCATAGCATGGCCACTCCTGGGCTATGTGCACTAGCTCTCTCAGGCACTGCAGCTTGCTAGGGGTTGGGTCAGCACTTCTGCTCTCATATTCCAGGACCAGCTCTCCCATGATGCCCAGGTAAGGGGTGGAACCATACCTGCACAGCCCTTAGACATCAACATATCCCTGGGCAGCAGCCCTACCAGGGACATCTTCTTGGCTTTTGGTGGTAACAGATCCCTGCTAATGCAGGGGTACGGACCCAGACATGGCCCTGTGACAGCATAGGCCAGGATGCCACCATGGTCCCAGGTGACATTATCAACTATTCACAACAGGCTTTTCTCCCTACCCTCAAATCTCTAGATCTGCCTTCTTCATTGTCCTCACATCCCTCTGTTTCTCTTTCTCATCTATTTTTTCACTACTTACTTCCTCCTCTCAGTGGAGCCTCGGATCTCTGACTGTCTGGGGTCATCACAGGAATGGTCTAAGGAGTACGATGCCCCACCTCTGCATTATGCCACTTGGCAGGGGTCATCTGCCTCTCCAAACTTTTGCAGTGCTGGACTAGTGATCATCCCAGTCTAGCTCACTGCCCTTGCCCCATGGCATGGGACTGGTGGTTGTTTTGGGCTCACTCCCACCTGGGAGTTGTAGTCCCAGGGTAGGTTCTTCTAGTCTTCAGCTTGCTTTCTGCCCTGAGACCCATCTGGGTCTGCACAGCACCAGACTGGTGGTTGTCACCAGCCCTCTTTTACAGAGAATGTTAGGCAACTAATCATTCAGATGTTCACAGGTCAGAACACTGAGCATAGACATAGCCTCTCTCCTCTGCCACCTACAGACACACATGCCACACAACAGCCACTCCTGCAACATCTCTAGGGGCATGTACTTTTCTGTACTTAAAGGAAAAAAAAAGAAATTGGTTAACTGACATGAATGTCTCCTCTCTGGAGACTAGTTTTCATGGTACCAGAAGGCACCATGCAGCTTCCAAAGTACAGAGGCAACCAACAGTCTCACACAGCTATGATACCTATGAGCAACATTAATGACCAGCATGCTAAAATATATCTAAGGATGCAGTAATGGCACACATAGTTTGAAGATAGCCAACTTCTCTGTTATTAAATTTTAGACCCACTAACAAGAAGGAAACCATGCCTAGTACTAGAAATCTAGCCAACTACTCAGAGCTAGTGAAGTCACAGTTATTGAAAAAGAGTCTATAACCATGACTTTACTAAACCAGCACAATCCCTAGCAACAATCTATAAACATTTGTTATACCCACAGATAAGTGGAGTCTTCATTCTTGCTCAGGGAAACTTCTCCAACAGATGGAAAGGACTACAGAAAACCTCAAAAAATAAAGTTCAGAGTCATAGAGCCTTGATCCACTGGATACAGTTACAAAAATTCTTACAACTAAGGCCCAGGGAACATTGTAAAGGAGTAGTAGAAAGATTGTAAGAGTCAACAAATCAGGGAGTTTAATGGAGTGTGTCTCCTAGCAATGTAAGATGCAACACCCATAAAGTCTCACCAACATAACTGCTCAAACTTGAGCAGAGGACATGAGAGTGTGGACAAGAAAAACACAGTAAGACCTCAACCCCACACAAATAACAATGTCAACTGAGGAATGCTGGGCATGGGAGAGATAGTTTTCTCCAGAAAAGAGCACACCAATTAGTTGTCCAGTGCCAAATGGTCAGCCCTGAAAACATATGCACTATGTACAAGTAATAGTATACAGACTGAGCAAGTTATATTTAGGAATATATATGTTTTTATATATATTATATTTGGTGTGTGTGTGTGTATATGTGTGTATACTTATGCATGCAAAAACAATTAGTGAAAAGGGGGCTGTGAATTTGAAGAAGAGTGGGGCATGGTATGTGGGAGGATTAGGAGGGAAAAAGGGAAGGAAGAAATTGTATTATAAACTAAAAATAATAAATAAAACAAAGAAATTGTTTAATATTTGTTTAAAATTGATAATGATGGGAAGAACTTTTTAAAATTATATTACATGTGGACTGTTTTGCCTGCATACATGTACCCTGTGTTTACCTGGTGCCCTTGGAGTCCAGAAGAGGCTACTGGATCTCCTGGAATTGAAATTATAAATGGTTGTTGTTGAAGTTTGGACTTTTGCTAAATACTGTAATGCTAAATACTGGCTCTCAAGGCAACCACAAAGCTGCCTCCAGGGAGAGAGAATCTGAAAATACACAAAGTAATGCTATAGCAGTGAGTTTAGGCTACACCAGTTTGGCTCCCAGCAGGTTGCATACACGCACTCACCCGGGAGCTATCTGTATTTGTGAATGGAAGACACACACACACACACACACACACACACACACACAGAGACAGACACACATACCAGTTAATTTTTAAATGCCTTTGGCACTCCTAAACCTTCCCCTATTACCCCAGGCCCAATTGGAGAAGTGGCCAGTGGCCACCCACCTGAATCCTCATTGGCTTTCTCTCCTGCAGCTCCTACATTCCATCCTTCTCCCTCGAGTCACGGTGATTCTCTCTTGCCTTCTTCCCACTTCCTAGCCCTCAGAAAGCTAAAGGTCCTGCCCTGTATCCATTTTCTCAGCCATTAGCCACTGGCATCTTCATGAATCGATCAAAAACCAGTTGGGGACAAGGACCTTCAGTGTTTGGACATGCAGATTGCTGATTAAATCAAAGCATTAGAACCAACCCCCAACATAATGCTTTATGACCTTGCTCCTTATTTTAAAATTATTGGTTGAATAAAGATGTCAACAGTGGCAGAAGAGAGGTAGGTGGAATTTTGACTTCTTGGCTGTGAGTCTGAACAGGACCAAGAAGGGAAGAGGAGAATGTAGAGAGAGGAGAAAACGACATGGGGTAGGTGAGTCATGAAAATTTGGTCATGAGGGCTGGCCAGTTGGAGCTAAGAACAGCCCAGATGGAACATATCAAGTTATAACTCGGGGTTAATAGGGAAGTAGACATTAATAGCCAGGAGAGTAGATACCTGCCCAACTCTACTGCTTTAAAGACTTATTATAAATATAAAGGTTGTATGTATTTTATCTGGAAACTGAATGATCAAGGCCAAGTTGAAACTCTTAAATATTAATACAACAGGGGCTGGGGAGATGGCTTGGCAGTTAAAAACACTGACTACTCTTCTAGAGGTCCAGAGTTCAATTCCTAGCAAACACATAGTGGCTCCCAAACATCTGTAATTGGATCCATTACCCTTTTCTGGTGTGTCTGAAGGTATCTACAGTGTACTCATATACATAAAACAAATAAATAAATCTTAAAAAATTAATTCAATATATTGACACCCAACATTGTAAACCACTCTGTGGGTGCTAGGATTCAGACCCATGTCCCTTGGAAAGCAGCCAGCACTTTGAACTGCTAAGATATCATTCCAGGCCATAAGTCTACTTTTAAACTAGAGAAATGATTTATATCATATGTTGTTCACCTTTCTAGGTACTGGAAAATACAGAAATAAAACATTCATCTCAAAATATGAGCAAGTCATTAATGAAAGGAATTATTTTTCTAGGTTCTCAGGAAACCGAATATGACTGTTTCTATTTCTAACTGAATGTAAGTTTCCTTGGCACAAGGATTTCTCTCTTTCAATTGTGTGTGTGTGTGTGTGTGTGTGTGTGTGTGTGTGTGTGTGAGAGAGAGAGAGAGAGAGAGAGAGAGAGAG